AAAGAATTTAACAACAACAGAAAAAAGGGAAAGAATGAAGTAACAGGGAGAAGAGGGAGGGGAATTTTAAAAAAAGAATTAGGATGTGTAATGTACATGTACCAATTCCCAACAATGAATGTAATTATCATGTACTACAAACATGTACTAATAAAAATGAAAAAAAAAACAGTATAGAGAGGACATTAATGAGAATGCTTAGGCTCTGGACACCCAGAGTGGTGAAACTGTGTCCAGAGCCCATGTCACTAGTCTGATTTCTCACACCTCTGTGGATGATCCCAGGGCCATCTCCTGGTACCAGGAAAATAGTGCTGGTCTGGACCAACACCAAGGTACACAACACTGTTTACAGAGGCTTTACAGCCACATGAGAAGCAGCCAAGAGTTCAGATGGCCAGCGGGACCTGGAAAACTCATCTGCATGTATAAGGTCAAATGGTGGACAGATTCTGCTTTTTCTTCCTATCCTTTAGCTATAGGCAGAGGAACTTTTAAATGAGGTGTGCACCATCGTGCAGTCTCCTTACACTTTAAGAGAGAACAGAAGAGGCAACAGGAGCTGGACCATAGTTCTAGATTCTTGAGTTGACATCCCCTGCTTGGAATTTTATGGCCAGGTGGATCTCAAGAGGGCTACTACATTTAATAATAAAATAGATGAGCATCCAGATTCTCTTCCCACTTTCAGCAGGAGGCATGTGTCAGTGGCTCCGGGGATTGATCTAATTCTCAGAATTGGCTCACAAGATTGTCATGGATGCAAAAGTATCTGAGAAGTTCTAATGTCACAGTCCACTGCCTTCCAGTCTCTGGGTCTTTTTCATCCTTCCTCTTTGCATCACATTCTGGCTGTTCTTACTTTTTCCCAGAGAGCTTTTCTTGTGTTCCAATCCCTTACATGAGCTACTTAGCAAAAATCACCAAAATTTAGAGGACTCAACTCTCCCATTCTGACTTGTCTCAAACCAACTGCACGTACCCCAGGTGGATGGATCCAGTTTGCATCATGCAGAACTGCAAACAGCCTGTCCGGAGCCAGATCCTCACACTACTGAAGCACCTGTTTCTTTTTCTTCCTATGGCTCACAGCCCCCCAGGTTCCCAGCTATTCTGTCCCACCGAAACTCTGGCCCTTCTCTACCTCTGCAGCCAATGCGTTCAATTTGGGGTCTGTAAGCTTCTCATAAACTCTGGATTCCTTCATTTTTGCTGTGAGAGCTGCTGACATCTTGTCCTTAGGCTCTTCCTGGTTGACCTACTGTACATATCACTGTCACGTTGAACATGTGAAACTAATGCACTGAGCTAGTGCCCCCATTTATATGTGGAAGCTCCCACCCCAGCATCTCAGAATGTGACTGATGGGTCTTTGAGGAAACCAAGTTCATGAGGTCACTAAGTCATTAGGGTGGGCCTTTATTCAGTATGACTGGGTGCTTTTAAGACAAGGAGATTAGGACAGACACAGGACAACCATGTAGGCACACAGGGAAGAGACAGCCACCTGCAAGCCAAGGAGAGACTTTAGAAGACTCCACCCCGGCTGACTCCGTCATGGAAGTGCAGCCTCCAGATGTCCTTTGGACACAATCTACAACATCAACCCTTCCAAAATTCGCACTTGGCAGCTTCCACACTTATGCGAGCCAATTTTTTAGAAATCTCTCTCTAGACATATATCCTCTGAGTTCATTTTCTCAGGAAAAACCTAATACATACTCCAAATTACAACCTGTGGTTGTTCGATGTAAATGCCAAATACAGTGCCAGATCCTTAGGCCAGCATTCAAGGTTCTCCACAACCAAATGTAGTTTATACCACTCTCTTTCATGTCAGCAGCAACATTTACTGAAAAACAAGTAATATTTAACATTCTTTGTGTGTTTAGCATGGACTAAACACACTTATTTTAGTTCCATTTCATTTTATTCTTAGGGAATACCCCTACTGTATTAACCACTGTTAACATAATGCTTTAGTTTTAAATAAGCATACACTCATTGTTAGACCTTTTAACTTTTTTCTGAGGAACTACCTTGACTCTAGATACCATTTTCAAAGTGCACAGGTAACCTGTCTAATCCCTATATGTTTACAGTCACAACAGGTGTGAAAGGTACATGGTGATGACATGACACAGGCTGAGTCTTGAGAAATGTGTGAACTTCTCTGGCACATATCTAATGAACTAGGCATTCTACCGTGTACAAGTCTCATTACAGAGAATTTCAGGAAGTGCCTGAGCCATCTAAGAAGGTTGGTAATACTTGGCAGATGTACCACACATGTTAAATTTCATTCCCACTTACACACAGCATGGTGATGGCAGAGGTTTTCATGCAATCCTACCATCTGCATCCCAGCTCACCAAGCCCTGATCACCTAAGAATTACATTTTGGGTGGCGTTTGAAATTCTTCTGATTTGAATAGGTTAACAATGAAGATATTTCATTACTCACCTTCCTATAGCATCAGTGATTTAGTTCTTACAATTATTCTACTCTACAGAGGTATGTCTTCCAAAAAACCCAGTAGCCAAATTCTTACCGTAGAACACAACTTTTTAGTGCTCATGTAAACCAAACAACATTTTAAATAAAATGTTTCCTTATAATTTTTATTGCAGTATTCAATCCTGTGACTCAGTGTCCTTCAATTTAATGAATTTAGCAGGGTAATTACCTGGCATATTAAGTAGTAATCATCTTTGTTAACACGCATTTCCTTATGGAATATAAAATAACCATTACAGATCAGTGTCACAATCAAGAGTAGATCAAAGCCATGGAGCAAACAGACCAGCTATAAAAATGTTTATTAAAAAAATAGACAATGTATGTAAACATCGTTCACACAGACTTCACGACATAGTATATCAGGCCCATGCCTCGAGTTTCTGCAGGGAAGAACCTTAATTGTTCAGGAAGAGCAATTGGCTTCATTGATCTTTCGGTGCGCTATTAAGTCTATATGAAAATAAATTATCAGATTCTGCTAAGTGGACTAACACAGAAAAAAATTACAAGTGTCGAAGTATCACAGCAATGACTCTCTGCAGTACCATGTGAGAATGAATCTCCATATTGCAATTATCTAAGTAACAAAGCTTCATTTCTAACCTCATCATAATGTAACAGCTGATCTGGAGCTGGGACAGAGCCAAGAGGGACAGGATAGATGGACACCTTGTCCACTCACACTCAAGTGTCTCCTACATCCAAACTTCACATGCACACCACACACCCACTCCCATCACACACACAACCCAACATTAACCCACACCCACCATACACACACACACACACACACACACACACACACACGGGAGATCCTGGCAGGAGCAGAACTGAGAACAGACTTCATACCTTTTTCTCTTATGCACAATTATTGGGGGCATGAATCGACTATTTTTAGCTGGAAGCTACACCCTCCAAATGATTTTGTATAAAGTAGCCAATCAGATGTCAAATATGAAATTTTGAGAAAACTAAATCATTATTATATAATTTAATAACAACTCACAAAGTGAAGCCAAATTATAGAACAGACAATAACACCACAAAATGTGATAAGTCCTCAAGACTTTGCTTCAAGAATCTAAAATGCAGGGTTGTTTCCTTATGGCCACTGTGCTGGGAGTGCCATGCTTCCAGGCCCAGGGACACTTCTGTGCAGGGACTAAAATATCATCACATTTGATTTACTTTAAGTTTCTGCAGTTGTAATTGAGCAAACTTTAACTAAGTTACAATTTTAAATGAAATGGCAAGAATGTTTGTGATTTAGCTTTTCATTGCATGGAAAATTTTAAGTATTTATTGTCTGCATTTGGAATAACCATAACCTAGTGACAGAAGGGAAACACAGCAAAGAAACCCAGGCAAAATTCCCAAGCTCTTGTAGAACATTTCCCATCCCAGTAATCCAGCAGTCTATTTGTATGATTATAAAAGTGACCCACAAATACCTTTAACTCATTTAAAATCCTGATCTGATATTCCAAGACACATTTTACAAAGTCAATTCTGGAAATAATCTATAATATATATTGTTAATTCCACCATAACTGTGTATTGAAATAGATGTGTAACATCCCCAATTAAATGAAATATAAAATAATAACAAAAAGAATTTAAATTCTAACAACTGTAATCCCTTGAGTTGGCAGTATTTGTCTTTGGATTAGAATGACTGTGTATGCAAATAGAGAAAAGTAAAATGACATGACATGAATGTTTATAATACAAGATATCTGTGAACATGAGCATGAGTAACTGAATCATACATAAGATTCCAGTAGACTAAAAAAATCTACCAGAGAATGAAGAAGTTTTGGTATTGACACCAAGTCAACAGAGGCTTTTCTGCAGGACCGCTGCATCCCTAGGCTCACATCTGGGGGTGGGGGGGCTGCTGCAGTCTTGGCCATCACCAATTGCTGATCTCTAGCCCCTCTTTTATTTTTGGTACTGGGGATCGAACTCAGGTCCTTCCGCTTGCACAGCAGGCGGCAAAACCACTGAGCTAAATCCCCAGCCCCTCTAGCCCCTCTTTTAGAGTTCTAACAGATGTAGCAGTCAGCAAAACTTTCCTAAGTTACATTCAGTAAAATTTCTCGAGAAATATTGTTGTATAATTGAGGGGAGAAATGGACATATTTATGCATCAAAAGTCTACAGTAGAATTTTAGTTTAAACAGGACCCTGCATCTGTTCTAATCAGATTTTTTTTTATAAATAGGTATGTTTTCTTATATCACATTATCATTACCAAGAAATACCAATAGCTATTTCTTGGCTTTCTGTTGTACAAATTAAAAACAAGAAGAGACAAGTTGAAGGAAAGAAAAAGAGAAGGAAGGAAGCAAGCAAGCAAGCAAAGGCAAGTGTCATCAGAATCCCACTGTGTGCTCATGGGGGCATGTGGAAACTAACAAGGTCTTAAGATATTGCTTAAAAGAAGGGAACTGAAATGTGTTGTGTACATGTACTGATTCCCTACAGTGAATGTAATCATTATGTACTGCAAACATGTACTAATAAAAGCAAAAAGACGATGCTTAAGGTGATTTCACCCAGCACAGTTTTACCTGTGGCACATGTTTTGGTTTAAACTTCTTTGTATTTCAAATTACTAGGTAGGATCCAGAAGACATGATATAGAAGCTGGACAGCAGTTATGTGCCTCTTTGGAGTTAGTGTCTATTACTAATGGAGTCACTGGGCGACATCTTTTCAACACACAAGAATACACACCTCAAAGGCACAAACAGTGTCTGCATTTGTTCACCTAAAACAGACATGCTTCAACAGCAAAGGGACTTAGGTCAGAAACTCTTTCTCCAGGGCACAGATGAACGGCTGCTGAGCTGGACTCTTCATCCTGCACAGAGGCCCAGTGCAGTCCTTGCTTTGCCCGTCCACATCAGCATCCAGTGAGGAAGGCGCCTGGGTACCCAGGACACAGGCAGGGCCCAAACCTGTGTGGCCACCGCCACAGGCCGCCCGGGCAGGCTGGGACTGTGCCCTGCGTGGCACAGCCCTTGGCACATCTGACGGACTTCTCAGGGAAACAGTGCCAGGCTGCAGCAGGACTGTGACAGCCCCATGCAGGTCAGGAGAGACCTGGCTTGGCAGGTCACCATGAGAGCCAGGTGAGGTGGGGGATGGCAGTGCAGAGGCTCCAGGGGCACCTGCAAGGAGAGAGTCACAAGACAATGCACAATCAGAAGGACAATGACTTCTCAAACTATGAACCTCAGGAATAACAAGTATGATGGCACCTCAAGTGCCACTTTAATAGTGGGCCTCAAAGTGGTCAGGTTTTTACATGCCACCTCTTCTCTAGTTTTTACAGAAGAGTTGACTTACCACACTTTAGCAAGTAATTACCTAGTATGACAAAAAGAACTCTGTATGGTATTATTGTGCTATAGGATTTCTCCTTGTGCAATTACAAATGACCAATACTCTATTGACTGACAAAGGGGTAACAATGTATCTAAATATGATGAGTAATAATCTAGTATTTAGAGATGAAGTAGAATAAATTAAAAGAAATTTCAGTTTTAATAAAGCTTTATAACCAACCTTATCATAGCATTTTCAATTTATGTGTAAAAGGCATTTTTCATATATATTACCTCATTTAACGCTCATGAAAAGCATATGAGGTTATTGTAATAATCTTCATATATAAAAGAAATGTTAACCTTTATTCAGCAGAGTGCCACTTGATTTTTGTCACAATTCTACACATAGCAGAGATTAGCTAAGCATATTATTAGATACGTATTTTAATATGATCATCTTCCCAGTTTTACAGAGTACACTGAGACAGAATTGTAAGTGATCTGCCCAACGTCACAGAGCAAACCTGAGGCCAGACAGCTTCCCTGCTATTAACTGTGACCTTCTGATGACCTGAAAAGCATTCAAATGAGGAAGCAGGTTACATAATTCCACAGGATTACCTGTTCACCAGATGTACAACTGAAACTTGAACCTTAGTCCTGTCACTCCAAATCAACTGTTCCTCCTAGGCAGCCACAGCATCTCTTCAAAGGTCAGATTAAAGAGCCACATAAAGTTCAGAAATGTCATGGTGACTACCACCTTGCACATAACAGCATGATCCAATCACATCAATACTCACTGAATTTTAGAAATGGAAAGAAGACAGCTCCCCATAATGAAGAGGGAGATCTCAGGTACAAATCCTGACACCACTGTTGCTAACTGTGAGATCCTGGATAAATTGCTAATTTTTCTTGAGTTCTAATCATGCTTCCGCATGTAGGTATATATAGTGTATGTATAATGGGGGTCTCGGTTAAGATAAAGAGAGACCATTTACATGAGAGTCCTTACCATCTACAAAATGCTACCAGCAAGCTGATACGGCCTTCAAGCCTTATTCAATGAACTAGAAAAACCTATTGGAAAATCTGACCTGTTTTTCTTTCAGAGCTTCCACACCTGTGCACAAACCTCACTGGACTGTACAGTGTGCTATGCATAGGAGGGCGATTCCTGCTGTCTCGGGCTGAACTGTGCCCCCACACACTGGATCCCTGACCTCTGGCACCTCAAAATGTGACTATCAGAAAGTGTGGGTCTTGACAGATGTGATTAAAGTAAGAGTCATTGGATGGCCCTAATCCAGTGGGGCTGGAGTCCTTATGAGAAGAGGGGACCAGGACAGACACACGGAGAGGGATGACCACATGAAGACACAGGGAGAGAGGCCTCACAGGAAATCAGCCCTGCCTACAACTTGGCCTTGCACTTCCAGCCTCTAGGACTGTGAGAAAATAAAGTTCTATTGCTCAAACCACTTTGTTCTGTAGCCCCAGCATGCAAAGATGTTTGCTGACCTCTGTCTAGGCATCAGGAGACAGGGTGTTGAGAGGGAGGATACGTCTGCTTGCGGCCCAACTCTCCCACTATTAGTCTGAATTTGGACATGTGACTTGGGTCCTCTGTGACCAAGGGTGGGGGCCAGTTATTCTCCACATGCCCTTTTTCCCCACTGTGCTATTATGCACAAAGTTACTGACATTTAATGACACTTTTTCCACAATCTGAGTTACAATTAATTTAAAATCAAAGAAAAGAGAAATATAAAACTCAAAGGTCCATGTGAACAGCAGTAAGTTATTAAATATAATTACTAGGGAAAGAAGACCTACAGCCTGGATCTGCAGTGGTGGTTTTACCCCACCCCCAACACACACACACTAACTACTAATGTAACCTACATGGAGTCAGAAAAGAATTTCCGTCTGACAAGGTCTGTCTGTGATGTGAGGCTCTGTCTTTTGGGGGAGCATAATAAGGCACATTCCCATCATGTGTCTGTCCCAGGTAGGAGGGAGACAGGCTTTCCAACATCCTGGGATCAGTCTTAAGTCTTGGCCCCAGGGCCAGCTCCTGGGTGCTTTCTGGACAAGCCGGACAGAAATCAGGGTCATGAGGAATCTGGCTGCTGCCTAGCGGTGGCTTGTCCCCATTTGTTTGTGGCAAGCACCTCGTGGAGAGAAGGCTTGTGGTGCTGCTGGGGTCCCTGCCTGCAGAGAGTGGCACAGGGGACGGCCTGGAGGCCCGCTGGAGGACTTCCTCTTGAATCTTCATGTCCACCTTAGGTGGCAGCTCTTCTGCAGCCTCTGCTTTGCCAAGCCCCCTGACATCCAGTCCCAATGCCACTGACGCCAGCAGCACTGCACACCTATACAGAGCTGACTCCGTTTTCTTCCTGTGGGGTCTACTGGGGCTGGTCACAGGCACCCCCCGAAGGGGGCCCATAGCAGAGCTCATTGTGGGTCCCTCTGCCCAGCCCTCAGCCTCCTCCAGGTTCTGTCTCTGATCATCTTTGCAGAGAGGTAGATCAGTGCAGGCCTGACCAGGCAACTTCATTTGCTTTGGTTTTCTGTGTTCTCCATTGGCAGGGTGTTTTGGCTCTTCACTAGATCCTAAAGGAAGGTATAAATACAAACACTGTGGTCTCATTTTATGGTGAAAAATCACAAGTTATATTGTAAAAGCTAGAGTCTCATGAATATTCTAAATCAAAGCACATGGAGTCCTTCCAGCTTGGCAAATGACTCATCCAGAAGACTCCAAGGGACAAGTCTGCAGGACCCTGCAACTCAGTTCCCCACAGACAAAGCTGCAAGGAAATCAGATGTTTCCTATCCTTCAAAAAACTGCTCCTCACCAGCATCAGTAACAGAAACAATTGTGGGAACAAAGTCATAAATGTACAAAAATGCACACACACACACAAGCACTAAATATGTCACTCAGAAGAAATCCAAGAAACATCATGTTTTGCTAAAACATTTTGAACTTATGTTATCACAGCATCAATGACCATCTTAAACTGTCCAGTATGAATTCCAATTGTTTTTCTTTGTTAATAACCATCTCTTTAAGCTCAGGCCACCAGGGCTGAGGATTTAGCTCAGTGGTACCTAAGTGCAAGGTCCTGAGTTCAATCCCTGGTACAAAACAAAACAAAAAAACCCTTAGGCCACCAAATGACAATATTACAAGAGCCCCACCTCATCTCAACAGAATGCTCAGGTAGAGTCTTCTCATGTTTGCTGTCTTGTGCACTAAATAAACTAAATAAATAACTAAATAATTTAATATGACACTATCTTTGGTCAAAAATCAGAAATTACAAATTTCCAAAAGACCACATGGAGCCTAGGCACTTTTTGCTACTAAAGCCTGAATGGGAAACAATTTTGGGGCATATGTAGACCTACTGGAGCCCTCTAACTAGCTGCCATTCTTTCTGCTTCTTTCAGGAACTACCTGAGACCATAATCAGAGTGCCGGAGCACGCAGATGCAAAGACTAACACCAGCACATTCTGCATCCCAATGCACATTTACCTGGCTGGTCCACAAAGAGTGAAGCCAAGGATGTGGTCTTCTGGCTTTTTATTAGGACAGATGACCAAGGACTGTTGCCATCAGAGAGAGGCCTCACCCTACAAGAGAAAGATGTTCGTTTTTATAAAATAGACATACAAATTGGGTTTTGGGGGACACAAGTCAACAATATTTTTTTTTCCATTTAGTTTATTGGTCCATTTTAGGTATACAGTACAGTTACATTCATCATTGGGATCTTGTACCTGTACATGATGTATCTTGGTTCTTATTTTTTCCCCATTCTCCTGCCCTCCCTTCACCCCCTCCACCCTTCCCTACTTACAAAGACTTTGTTTCCATGTTTTTCCTTTTATCATATTTTTTCTTTTTCCTTCCCCTCCCACTTCCCCTATTCCTTTAGACACTTTCTGCCTATTTCACAATACCAATTATACATTTTGATTCTTATTTACACTTTTTGTTTTTCACGCCAGAGAAACTATTCGGTATTTACACATGTGTGTCCTATCTATTTCACTTAAGAGTATTGCCTCAATGTGCACCCATTTAACTATAAATGTCTCTAGTTTCTCATTCTTTATGGCTTAGTACTTCATTTTATTAAAAAAAACCCACATCTTCTTTATCCAGTTTCCAGTTGATGGGCAATTGGCCTATTTCCAAGCTTTAGCTATTACAAACTGTGCCGCTATGAACATGGGTAAGCATATATCACTGTGGTATGATTCTTTTAGTTCTTTTGGGAAGATAACCAGCAGGGGAATAGCTGGGTCAAATGGGACCTCTAGTCCTAGTTCTCTGAGGTATCTCCATATTGATTTCCACAGTGGTTGCACCAGTCTGCACTCCCACCAGCAATGGAGAAGGGTTCCTTTCTCCCCACAACCCCGCCAGCATTTGTTATTGGCTGATTTCTTGATAGCAGCCATTCTTTCTGGGGTGAGGTGGAATCTCAGTGTTGTTTTCATCTGCATCTCTCAAACATTTTGTCATAATTGCTGCTTTTACTTCTTTGTCTGAGAAATGTCTGTTCACTTCAGATGCCCAGTTTTGAATTGGGTCTTTCTATTTAGGGGGGTCTAATTTTTTTGAGTTCTTTATATATGCTAGATAGTAGACTTTTGTCTGAGAAACAGCTGGTAAAATTTTTTTCCCACATTGTAGGCTGCCTCTTGGCTCTGTTGGTGGTTTCTCTTGCAGTGCAGAAGCTTTTTAACAAAATGAGATCCCAGTTGTTGATTCTTTGTGCTAGTTCCTATGCTACTGAGGATTAGTTCATAAAGTCCTTTCCTATACCAATGTCTTCAAGAGTTCTACCTAACTTGTCTTCCAGCAAGTTTATAGTGTTTGTTTTAATATTTAGATCTTTAATCCACTTCAATTTTAGTTTAGTGCATGGTGACAGATAGGGGTCTAGTTTTAATCTTTGGCAAGTTGAAATCCAGTTTTTTCAACACCATTTATTAAAGAGGCTATCTTTCATCCAGTGAGGATGGTTGGCTCCTTTGTCAAAGATCAGGGAGCTGAGTGTGTCTGGAGTTGTTTCTGCATCTTCTAATCTATTCCACTGATCCTCGGGTCTGTTTCTTTGCCAGTACCATGCTGTTTTTATCACAGTGGCTTTGTAGTGTAGTTTCAATTTGGGAATTGTGACACCCCCTGCCATGACTCTGTTGCCTAGAATTGCTTTTGTTATTCTAGGTCTCTTCTGGTTCCAGATGAACTTTTGGATTCACTAGTTCTGTGAAATATGCTTTTGGGATTTCAATCAGGATTGCATTGCAACTGTATAGCAGTTTTGGAAGTATGGTCATTTTCACTATATTGGTTCTTCCTATCCAGGAATAGGGGATGTCTTTCCATTTTCTTATATCCTCTTCGATCTCTTTTTTCAGAGTATTGTAGTTCTCAGTGTAGAGGTCTTTTGCTTCCTTCGTTGGACTGATTCCTAAATATTTCATTTTTTGGATGCTATTGTGAAAGAAATTGTTTCCCTAATTTCTCTTTCAGTGAGTCTGTTATTTGTGTATGAGAAGCCTATTGATTTTTGAGTGTGGTCAACAATATTTTTAAGGGTGCAAGAAGATGATGTTTGTACTTTTGGGTTTGCAAGAGCTAATTAAGTACAAATAAAACCTTAAGACAAGGCAACAAAGTATCAGAGAAACTATTTACTTAACTAAATAATCATTTAATACAGTTAGTATGATAAACATTCTAGCAAACTAAAGTGACATTCAGGTGTCACTGTAGGAATAGATACTAGTTACTTTCTGAAAGTTAAGTCTGGCCAACATGACAGGAGCTCAGGTACCACGTGGTCACAGTGGACACCAGGCACCTCTGGCCCTCACACGTACCTCTCTCTGCCATCTGTTCTTTCTTTCATTTGAATTGAGCTTGGTCCCCAAGTACAGCCTTTTTTCTTGAAATTCCTTTTTACATCTTCAAAATCCTCTTGCCGAAAGACCATGTTCCTTCCCCAGGTTTTATTGTTTTCATCAGATGTCACTAGACAAAGAACACCATTGTCAGCCAACATCAGCACCATTAAAAAGGTGACATGAGAGGGGGTGGTTGAATACACCTGTAATCCCAGCACAGTACTCCAGGAGGCTGAGGCAGGAGGACTTTTAAGTTCAGGCCCAGCTTGGGCAACTTAGTGATTTAGCAAGAGCTTGTCTCAATTTAAAAAAAAAAAGAAAAGAAAAGAAAAAAGAAAAAAGGGGAGGGGACTGATACGTAGTCACTGCAATCCCCAGTACCGCAAAAAAGACAAAAAGCAAAGTGACATCAATGGAGTTGGCACAAGGCCACTTGTCTGGAAATGTGAAAACAGTGAAGAATTGATTCATTTCCTTTATTCTTGGAAAATTCCTTTTTCTAATGATTAAAAACATGAAGAGTAGAAGGAATTAAAAGAAAAACTATAAATTTAAGGAAAATTAGCAGCAAAGAATTGATTACTTAACTATTTACCAGTCTTTAACAGAAAAATATTTTCATGATAATTGGGAAAGAATGGAGCCAAACTGAATAATTCACTTAATACTCTAACTGTTTAGCCAAACCAGTTAAAGTTTGGGACTTTAAGGCACAACTCTGAGACTGTCACATAAGCTAACCTTTCACTGGTTGCCTTGTCATCACACAGTTTAGCTACTATCATTGCCCTTTTAAGATCTGAAAATATCTAAGGTTCCTGTGTCCTGTCTTTCGTCCCCACCTCATGAGTTATTCACACGTCTGGTGTCCATACTTTGGGAACACACACACACACAGTCCCTCCAGCCTCTTGGTCCCTTTACAGCTGCTCTGGGAATCACTGGGGAAAAAGATTATTACATTAGGGCAAAAACAACCCTGAATCACATCAGATGTTTTAAAAACAGCTTGAAACATGATAATATACTTACACGGTAATACTGTGACCATAAAAAAAATGAAGGACAGATAAAGATGAAGCAAAATGTTTGTCTATAACATTACCTGCCACACACATGGCTAATACCGTAATTACATGTGTGTGCACACATGCACACATGGAGGGGATGTGGATAAACACAGAGGTCAACCTTTTCATTAAGATGCTTGGCTTTTAGAGAGAGGGTTCTTGGGCCAGGTATTTAGCTCAGTGGTTCCACCACCTGCCTCCCAAGTGCAAGGTCCCGAGTTTGATCCCCGGTACCAAAAAAAACAAAAGAAAAAAAGAAAGAGGATTGTTTATGTAAAGGGGAAAAGTTAACTTCTTTATTTTTTTAAATGGTGGTATTCTGGGTAATGTTTAATTTCTTCTATGTGTTCCAGTATTTTCCATATTTTATGACATGTGTGTGTGTGCACACGTTTGCCCATACATACAGACAAATGCACACCTGTGCCTCTGTGCCTGAATAGCTGAGCCCTCCTTTCATGAGCAGAGTGCTCAGCAGCACTTGGGGATGGCCGAGCAGTTTCTTCTAAGTGACAGCGGCGCAGCAGAAGGCTGCCTGCCCTTAGAGGGCAGCTGGCTCTGCGTTTATCTCAAGGACACACTGCAGAGGTCAGGCAGTGGCTTGGCTTTAGCTTCTTCCTCTTCCTCCCCGCTTTCCACTTTTCTTCCTCTTAATTTTCTGTTCTGTCATTTCTTTTCTACTGTCCCAAGTGGCTGGAGAGGGCTTAGTGAGGAGCTCATTCTCAGAGACTGACTGTGCCCAACTGGAGCTTCACCTAGTCATTGCCACCAACTTGCTTCAGGTTTTATCACCACTCTGTCCTCACTGGGGATCACAGTGGTACCCACCTGTTGAGGTCGTTTTGGAGACTTAAATGGAACCAGGTGTGGAGAACATCAGGTCGGTGCCTACAAGGTGATGGTCACTGCCCAGGGGCTGCTGGCTGCTGTTACAACAGCACAGGTGCTGGGTCACAAGCCTCTGCTTTCAAAGTGCTGCTGGTCTAATATTTCTGCAGACTTGCCATGGCTGCAGTCAGCTGGCGAGCTTAGTGTTTTTTTTGTGATGCAGGCTGAAAAGCGGGGAAGTGGAGGGGGAGGCAAGGGTTCCTGGTATTATCACTTGTATCATCTCTTTGGGAAAGCAAGTGCTCGAACTGTGCAGTCCATTAAAGATGCTGTGCTACTGAAAGGCCAGCCAGGAACACCTAGGGCAGCAGACTCCCGGGCCAGCAGGAGCTGTGGGACAGGCTCTTCCACCATCTGATTCTATCCAACCATAGGGGTGGGTGTGCTGCCCATGCTCTGAGTCCTCAGCCTCAAGTCTATGCCCTGAAATTTGAAAAGTCCAGAACATGAATGAATTCTATCATTTCTTATTCTCAGAGGGAAGAGTGCCCTACATAAGGTCTCATATAACTATGCCAGTCAGGTGAGGCAGAGGGAGTGTCAGTCAAAAACAAGTATTCTGTGCAAATTCTTTTCAGCAGAGCATGATTCTCTACATCACAGCCTTTTACCCAGTCATGCTTCTTATACTGTAAGACCCTGTCCTTTGGTATTCTTTAAGGACTTTTTGGGATAATCTCTTTTTTCTTCCATTTTGCTGAAACGACTCCCACTTCCCTCAGTAACTAAATACCACCCTTTCCTTCAATTTCAGAGTTTTTCTGCCTTCTTCTGACACTTTCATAATCAAGTTTTCACTGAAGTTTCCCCATATTTCCCCATCTTTGTGTCCAGAGGAAACAAGGCCAGGGACAGCTACAAAGGAAGTGGCCCATCCCGAGTCACATGTGTCTACAGGGCACCCAGAGGCCAAATCCTCACAGTGAATCCCTGCTGTCACCAAGAAAGACAAACCCACTGTGGGAGATCCAGAGCCAGGAGCGGTCACAAGACACAAGCAACAGGACAAACAACAGTGATCTTAACCATCCACGTACTCAGAGCACCTTCTGCATGCCAAGCAACATTCTGAATGCTCTAGAACATTCCATGTAATTCTGAGCCATCTCACTCTCAATTCACAGAAATGGAGTCAGAGGTGTGACAAGGTTAAGGACTTGTGCCAAGTCATAGGGGCAGCAACAGTAGATTCAATCTGTGACAGCATGTTCCAGAGTCCATGCCTACCTGCCCTCTATCCTGACCACCATGACAGCAACAGGATCCCTGTGAAGCCACGGCTGGGGGACACCGAGTCCAAACCACAAGCAGCTTTGGAACACTCAGGGCAGGATGAAGGTGCCCAGGATTAGGTGAGAAGACTTCAGCCCATAGCCTCCCATGCAGTGCCAGTCCTTCTAGGAACTCTGGGAGAACGTGTTTGCTGTTACTCTGGAAACCAATATGAGCTTCAGGATGGGAAGTACTTTATTTGAAATCCTCAAAGTATGTTTTCAGCCTGTGCAAATCTTGGGATGTGTCAGGCATGCCCAGCACTACACTTGCCCACTTCCATGGGGTGGTCTTCCCTGAGGACAGACCTTGAGGACAGAGAAGAGGGAGAGAAATCCCAGGCCAAGGATGAGGAGGATGGTTCGCTGTCTGCTCCTCCCCAGACCAGAGGCCCCAATGCCTTCCCCTTCCTTCAGTTAGGCCCTCACTCTGCTGAGGCAAAGGCAAGGTATAGACAACTTTATGCAAAGTGACAAATGAATTGCGGGGAGACAGTGTCTGGGAGCTTGAAAAAGATAAGTCTCTGCTAGTACCAAGCTTTTCATTACCAGAAAAACCAAATACCAAACCAAAAAAGAAGAAAACAACAAAGGAAAAGAGAGAAAGAAGAAAATCCATGTGTGGTGGTGCACACCCATAATTCCAGCACTCTGGGTGTCTGAGGCAGGAGGACTGCCAAATTTGAGCCCAGCCTGGGCAACTTAGTAGCTTAGTGAGACCCTGTCAACAAAAAGGGGGGCCAGGGACTAGGGATATAGTTTAGTACAAAGGCCTTGAGCTCAATCCTCAGCACCTCCCCCGCTCAAATCAGTGGATAAAAATTTTTATTCGCCAGATGAGGATGATAAACAGTTTGGTCGAGAAAGGAGAGGACTTGAATGGCTTAATACGGTAACTTACATGTATCAATCATATTCTTTTCTTGCTTAGGCTTCTTTATGGCTTTATGTAGACTTACCTCTGAAAAGATCAGCAGTTTTATTTCATCCTACTACAGTCTGATTTGGGATCTAACTAAACTTTAACCATGCAAAGTTGCCTATACAGGAGCTGTGTAGCCTGTCTCATCCTGGCAAATGCTCTAAAACCGAAATACTGTGTAGTGTTTTGAAGCATTAGTTTGGTCACACCCAAAGCAGATTACAGTTTAATCTCAACAAATAAAATAATTTTTTCCTCACAAAATAAGGCAGCCAAATGGAAATAATCCTGAATTTCTCATTTAACTTTTCAAAATATCCACACGAAAAGGACTCATGGAGTAATCCACTTAGGTTAATTTTCACACAAAGCAGTTAAGACAACATCTCAGGAAACCATCCTTCACCTTTCCGATCCAGGAGTCTGCTCAGACACCAACTGCACAGAATCTGAGGATCATGTGTGGCTGTGAACATAAGGAAACTGGCCTAAAGAACCTGAATTTTCTCTTCCAAACAGTTGAGGCATCTGTTAAATGTCGCCTATACATGTAAAATTTGCTATAAAAACATGTCTCTTAGTTTGAATCCAAGGCAAGAAAATGAGCGAAGTCAAGAGGGATACTTGGGCCGGGGACTTAGCTCAGTGGTTCCGACGCCTGCCTCCCAAACGCAAGGAGCCAAGTTTGATCCCTGGTTCCAAAAAAAAAAAAAAGAAAAAAAAGAGAGGACACTCACACTGAATGGCCCGGAGGCGAGGAAGCATGGTGGGGCTGCTGGGCGGGCTGGAGCTCCTGCTATCCCAACTCCTGCGCCTGTCCAAGCTGGGAGAGGCTTGCACGGTGATCTTGTGCTGAAAGTCTGTTGGATACAGCAAAAGGGAGGATAGGTAGGACATGACTTCATGTCATTCCAACCCCATGTGCCAGGCACAGAGCAATAAAAGCAAATACTGCCAAAAGTAACAAGGAAATATATTTCAGAATCAGTTTCGGACTTTGGTTTCTTCTTTACCTTCAATTCAGGATTCAAGCCAAGAGTAATTCAGAGGTTATTATTATGTACAATGAGACACACATATGCAGAAATATGAAATCTTCCCAATTTCATGGAGAATCCACAGTCTTCTGGGATCAGTTACCTGTATTCAGTCAGAGGCACTTAAACACAACATTAAAATAGGCGGCCCTGGATTTAAAGGAGTCTTGAGTCCATCAATAAAGAATGATGGCTCACAAGCTAGTAAGGAAGTGTTCTGAGCCTGTCACTCTCCTATTACGTGGAGCAAAAATAGTTCACGGGTCTATGATAATAAGACAGAAAATGAAGGTTCAAGGTATTTTGTGACAAATGAACTCGATAAATAAGAGCTATGAAGTGTGATCAAACAATATGGTGAATGTTTAAATGAAAAAAATATTATAGTACAAGACACAATGCCACAGATCCCCTCAAAATACTCCCCCTCCCAGTACCAAAAAAAAAATATTCCCCCTCACTTTGAACACTTATCCCATCATTCTTGGCACTTACTGAAGCAGTTCTGGAAGTCTTCTTTGAGAATCTTTCCCAGGTATTATAAAAATAAATACAGTGAATGCCGCTGCTGAGTGCCATCCAACAGAAAGGCAAGCTTATAAAAATATCACGGTATGTCCTCATCCACCTTATTCTTGGGATCTGGCACTGGTGATTCTAGCTCTTCCCCAAAGTCAAAATGATCATGCAACATAAATGTTTTGAGTTGATTCAGAATATCAAGGCATCATAACGATGCAACTAAAAACACCCATGAAAGAAGACTTCTAGAACTGCTTCAGAAAGTGGCAAGCAAGATGGGAGAAGTGTGTTTGAAAAGAAGGGGAGAATTCTGAGGGGGATTAATGGGAGAAGTGTGTTTGAAAAGAAGGGGAGAATTCTGAGGGGGATTAATGGAAATGTGTTTTACTGTAATAAATTTTTAATTCAAATATTTACTGTATTGTTTAATCACATCTCGTATATTGTGACCTAACTGGAACATGGCAGAGATAAGCCATGATCATGAGAACATATGGAAGAGAGGGGAACACTGCCAGAGGGGACGAGGGTGTCTTTAAGTGGTCAGAAAAATTAATGGAAATTTGGACATGGGTAAAAGAAATCACCAGGTTTCCTTCAGTTCAGTGCTGGGCTTTAAATGACTGATTTCCTATTAACTAGGAGGCTATGTTTACAACTCAGTAGGGGCAGAGGTTAATTTGATGATTTTTGTCTGGTAATGTAAATTATTTCTGTCTGGTGAAGAACGACAATCCCATAATGTATGATTTACTGCTATACTGGGCATTAATTGGATTTGTTTTTAACCTTGTAATCTAATCCTGACATTCCTTTATTAAATTGCCCATAAAGACCTAACTTATTAAATTCTCATTTGAACCAGTTTTATCTGGTTATCTATCACTAGTTAATGAGTTGAGTAAAATCTTTGACACATGTTTACTTCTTGTTTCCAAAAGAGTTATAATTTACCTTTTTGGAAATTATAAAGACCTTTATTGAACCACCTAGTATTTAAGATAAAGAAGAGACAATTTGGTAGACAAGACATCTAGGCAATTCATGCTAGAAATTTGAAAACTTCTTTGATAATATCTTCTTCCTAGCCTTACATATCCATTAAACAAAATATCTTACAAATTCTGTGTTATACTTTCTTCTAGACACGGATAAAGTGTTGTTGGCACGGGGCTTAGGATATAATGAATAATCATAAATGCTAGTATTGTTTACATTCTCCTCATCCTCTCAGCCTTGGGTACCACAATGCCCTGCAGCCCTTCCCACATTCCCACAATGCCCTACAGACCTTCCCACATTCACCTTCAGCCCTCAAGTCCACTTACAGTTGTCAGATGTACTTTCTAAAATGCAAGGCAGCATGGCAGTCACCTACCTAAAACCTTTCAAAAGCATCTTATGACACCTGTAATCCTAGCAGTCTGGGAGGCTGAGGCAGGAGGAACACCAAGTTTGAGCCCAACTGGGCAATGTAACAATTTAGAGATGCTATCCTAAAATAAAAAATATAAGTGGCTAGCTCAGTACAGTGGCCCAGGGTTCAATGTCAGTACTGGAAAAAAAAAAAAAAAAGCAAAGCGGCTCTCATGATTCCTAAGCTAACATATTAAAATGGGAAGAAACCCTGAGACCCCTGCAGGTTTTTGAGTCTGGGTTCTTGCTGCTCTGGCCTTATCTCACCATATTTTCCCCTCTCACACCATGCTGTACCAGGGGTCAGCAAGCTTCTGAACTAAGGATGGAACCCAGGTCCCTACGTGTGCTGGGAAAGCCCTCTCTTACCCGATTCCCTAGCCCGACCACTACATTTTAGGCTTTGTCACTAAGCTCCTGCTGAAACTACCCAGCCCCATGAAGCAGCAAGAAAGCAGCCCAGATACACCAATGACAGCATTCCAGTAAAGCTTTATGGATACTGAAACTTCAAGTTCATTTACTATCAGGTACCACAAGATGTATTGCTTGTAATTTTTTTGAGCCTTCAAAGATATGTAGTCCGTGCTGAGCTCTGGGGCTGTGAAAAGCAGGCATGGCCTGGGTTTGACCTGTGGGATGCACTCTTAAGACTCTGGTCGAGCCACACTGGTTTCTTTCAATTCATTTTTTTTTTCCCTTCCCTTCACCCCTCCAGCCTTCCCTATTTGCAAAGACCTTGTTTCCATTCTTCTCTTCTCGTATTTTTTCCTTTCCCTTTTTTCCCTTCCCCTGCCCCTCCCAATTCTCCTGCTCCTTTAGACCTTTTCTTCCTGTTACACAATATCAGTTATACATTTTTTAAATTACAATATTAAGGTCTAGGAGACATTACCACAGATTTTACAGAATTTAAAAGGATAT